GGTTGTTGTGAGAATTAATGAGTCTTACAACATAAAAAGTGTTTAGAGTAGTATCCAGCACAAAAATACTCAAAATGGGTTAGCTAAAAAAATGGACAAGGTAGCAGCCACCCTTTTGGAGGGACAAAGGAAGTCTTTATTCAGCAGGCTTTTACAGTTATTATAGTTAAGGACATTTCCTTAACTTTACGACCTTACGTCAAATTTGAACTTATTCAACCATAATGTGTTCTTTAGAGATTTTGTACATCACGGTGGCACAAGATTTTTTAAAATGCCTTTATGAGAAAAAGTTAGTGAAAGGGAAGAGTAATCCTATGGAATTTAGAAATTCATTTTAGTTTTTCTAGGTAATAGCAGAGGGTTTTATTGAATAATAAGGTGATGGTTTTGTCTGTGGGTCTTTTTTTTTTTTTTTGAGGAACTAACTTATTTTTCAAGTGGGTCTTAAAATTTAAGCCCCAATTAATTACATGTAGCTTTCTGATCCAAGACTGACCTTGAAGCACTAACTCAAAGAACATTTGATTTTGTTTTCCTGTGGTAGTTCAATAACATTAGACCTGTTGTCTTCATTTGTCCCTTTTCTGTGATCTCCAGTATCCTGCATATTTCTATTGTCCCCCTGATTACATGCTTTTGTGAGACAATTACCAACTGTGTGATTGCAGAAAGAATTACAAAACATACCATGAGCTCTCAGTAGGTGATTCTTGCAGATTTATTAGAACTGCTTAATAGTTTAGAAGTTCATATAGATTGCTTTTTGCTGATTCAAAAACAGGGTTGGTGAGAGAGAAAGCTTGTGTAGCTAACCTAGTGTTGCCTGAGTAGGGAATCTGATAAGAGTGATTTCTTTTCCTTAAAACCAATTAAGCCTTTACATTTGAAAAAGACTGAGAAATTAAAGCCTGGTTTATAATCTGTGTACAATACAGATAGTGGCACTTCTCTGAATTATCACTATGATTCTGGCAAGCAAATATAAGAAACTACTTTAAATTCCTGCTATGTTAGATGCTGTGGCAGATTTGAATGGTGTTGACCATAATTCTCCATCTGTCTGCCTTAATTAGTTTTTGTATGGTGCATTTAATTGGGTTTCAGTCATTCCTTACAGAGTGCTAATCCGTTTGTAGGCGGTGTTCCTACTGCCACGCAGCTCTTCCTAGCCTCAAAATGGCAGCCTTTCTGAATAATCAAATGTTTTTGAACGTATTTTCTAAATTCCCGGTAATAAATCCCACAACCATACCAGGTACTTGAATGGAAGATCTGGGTTTTATCTCCTCTGCTCTTGAATAGGGTGAGCAAAGCACTGTGTAGTGCACAATAGATATTCATGTATCGAGTGAGTGAATGAATGAATGGATTTCTGCCCGTGGTAATTTATTTATCTTTCCCCCCTTGATGTTTGTGAGCTATTAGGAGACACTGCCCAAGAAAATGCTACTTGAGAGCACACGGTTGATCAACCCTCAGTTTTGCCATCTTTCATTTACTGGTGGACGAGTTCTAACTTTGGTGACCATGTTTCTTTCCCATATTGCCTGGCAAAAGATACTTATGTAACTTCTGGATCTGAAAAAATGTTATTTGGATATTGAGAAATTTAAATTCCCAGCATTTCAGTGGCTTCCGAGGTGACAAAACTCTATTTGAAGTTAGGTCTTTATCGAAAACCTAGGTTATATAGTGAATGTAGCAGTGTCCATCATGGTGGAGCTGTAGACGTGAGGATGATGGAAACTTCTGAACTCTCTTTGTAGTTCCCTTAAGCACTTCCACAAGAGGAATGGCTACCCGGGGTTAGAGTGGAGTCTGGTCATGTCGCAGGGAAAAAAAAGCAATGATTTAGCCCTCCTTAGCGAAAAGCCTGACACTAGAGCTAAATAGCTTGGGGATATAGTTGTGATTGCCTCCCTTTAGAAGCCAGCCTTTTGGGGTTTAGTAATTTCTACTCAAACAGTAAAAATATTAATAGCCATTTAAAGCCACAGCTACAGAAGTCAGTCAGTGGATCCTTGATGAGTGCCCACCGTATGCCAGGTAATGTAGAGTCTATTAGAGATACTAATCGGATGGTCCTTATGAGATATTTAAATGTAAATAAATCAGCTGCAGTTAGATGGAGGTAAACACAAAATCTAGAACTGCACTGATGGTGATAAACGTTCCAAAATGGTTCTGTGCTTTGGTCAAGCTATTCTGCAAGAGAGACAGATTTCACTATTTTGATCAATACATTTACGTTCACTTCAGATGCATTTATCTAAATGGTATACATCTCAACAGCTTCATTTATTTTGCAGCAAAATCGTGCAAAGATTAGACAATAGATAGTTGACATTTTTAAATCAAATTTAATTACTTAATTGCAATTACTTCTAGATGTATGTTTTTCTTGTAACATTGACAATTTTAAGAGACTTGAAAAAGATTTGCTTCAATGTTTCCTTTCCACTTGACTCCTAAACAAAAGATGGCAATTTAAAAATAGATTCTGTTTATTTTCTGCTCCTCTTTAGACTGTGGATTTATTCCAAAAATGAAAACATCTCTTTGATTTTTCGCAAATGAGTTTTTGGTAGTTATTTCTTCTTTGGACTGATTTAACAAAGGATGTACTGTAAGTTATAAAAACATTTTTGAGATAAAAGATGAATGAATATTTGGGATTGGGTACAGGGTTGAATTTTTAAAGACCTGGAGAAATTCATGTTGACAAATGAACAAAATCTACTTTGTTTAACATAGGTGAGACAATATTGACTTCCATCCTGCAAGTTTTTATACTTTCATTTTTTTATTACATCCTTTATTTTTTAAAAATATGTTGCTACGTGGTAGCTCTTAACCTTGGTAAATTATTGGTGTTCCACAACTCTGTCTGAAACATAACTGTGATTAATCACACAATATGACCTTTCTAAGTCACCCAAAATAGGAAGTAGCCGTTTTCTTGTAACATAAGGTGATTTATTTATGTGTTCTTTGAACAGCTGAAGAAGTCACGGATCTAAAGAGGCAAGCAGTTGAAGAGATGATGGATAGAATTAAAAAGGGAGTTCATCTCAGACCGGTTAATCAGACAGCCAGACCGAAGGCAAAGGTACGGAGTGGCTAACGTTTTCTCCTTCCTTGATATTCCCTTTTTTAAATGTAAAAATTTGAAGTTTGGTGAAAAGTACATCAGAGCTGTCAAGTCTTAGGATAAGGCTAATGTGTTATAAAAGCTTTTACTTCCATATAAGCCTGTTTTAAGAAGACTCTGACCCATGGTGAACCTAAATCAGTATAGAAAGTAAGCCACGTTATTTGCAGGGTGTTGTCATCTCTTTGAGAAAGACATTGATACTAACTGTTGTACCAACAAATAACAGTTGTTACACTCTTTCTTTTCTTTGATTCCCAGCTCTTTTGTATAGTTCTATTATCTTTTATGTGCCAGATACCGTTTTAGGCACCAGGGATAAAGCAATAAACAAAATAGACAAAAACCCTTGCCTTCCTGAAGCTTCTGTTTAATGGGGGGAATCACATAATAACAACAGAACAGAACTAACACAACTTTTGAAAAATAGTGAGATTTATATGATTGTTTTTCATTAATTTTACAAAAGTATTCCAGGTCATTTCAAGGAGAAAATTTTGTACACATATATACCATCAGCTGTGTCCAGGGTCTGTCGGGGCACTTAGAGTCTAGTTCAGTATTTCTCTCCTCCCTTTGTGTATCTATTACATTTACATAAACCCAATAATAGGTTCTGACATTTTCCTTGAAAAATATTGTTTCTTTCTTCACTCTGATTAGGTGTGAACAGATTGGTTGTCCCTCTCCTTCTCCTCTTCCTCCTCCTCCTCCTCCTCTTCTTCCTCCTCCTCCTCGTTCTCCCCCTCCTCCTCCTTTTTCACCAAATTTTATGGTTTGGCTCTTTATTCCTCTCAAGAATTCCCGTCTTCAACAGCTTAAATGTCCCCTGGGTTTATGACTGTTCAGTGCAGACTCCGATGGGCTTTCTGAAGTTGCCACTTTGTCTGTCACAGGCAGGCCAGACAGCCAGGCAAGGCGGGAGGGGCCCTGGCATGGGCTGTACGTGGAAAGTGAGTTGGAAAGAGAGACACGATACTCATCTCTGAGGGTAGATTTACGTCTAGTGAAACAGAAGCTCTGGCCATCTGTGTAAAGTAGTTCAGTCTTGTGCCAATGATCAGAAAGCAGTTTTTGAAGTAAAGGACAGAACGTAAAACTGGAGGAGAGGCTGAGTGTGTAGAATGATCTGGTACAGCTGTTCCAGTGCCGGTGTCTGGCAGGTGAGGGAAGAGCCCTGTTGTTGGAGTCAGACCCTGGCACTGTCACCCAGCTTTCCCGTACGTTCTTCTCTTCAAAATGGGGACAGCACCTGCCATCTGACCGGTGGGATTGTTGTCAGGATAAAATGGAATAAAGTATGAAAACACTTTAAAATGCAAGGTCTGAGTGCCACCTTTGAAAAAGAATACATTTTTATGACTTTCACATCACCACGATTATGGAAAGAATAAGCAAAACCAAACTGTTACTGGAAGAAAATGCAGTGCCACAAAGAAACAAAATTGGTTTAGAAAGAAGGATGTTGAGTACTTCTTAAATTGTAAGCAATCAGTGTTCAGTATGTACTTTCATTTTCAGAGTATCACTTTGTGCTTTTTCTTTCTTCTCATGACTCTTCCAACAGTTATACATTATTTAATGTCAATTCAAAATCTGGGATCCAACTGAACAAGGACCAGTGGACCACTGGGTTTTTGCTGGTAATCATTGAACTGTGTAGACGTAGTGCTGAATGACCTGGTCAGTAACCTTTAAGGCCTGTGGCCACTGCATGCTTGAGGGCACACGTCTTCTCCCAGGACCATCATGGCTTTCCTGAAATGTCACAGGTTATGAGAATGTGCCGTCCAGGCTTCAAAAGGCGTGTGCAGTCAGAGGGCAGCCTGCACGGCATGGCAGCATTTTGGGTATTTGCTCAAATATCACAGCTTGTCAGCTGAACAGTTGACCTGCAGAAGGGAAGCCTGCTTCGAGAATACTAATTTAACTGCATATTTTCGAAATTCCTTAGTGGTGGTGTCGGTGGCGGCGTGGTTGGAATTAGTGTCTTAGAGCTTCTGACTGGCACTGAGGGCACGTATATCACACGGAAAACCTGGGCTATGAAAGCTGAATGCCTTAGTCCGATTTGTACATGAGCAGCAGACCTCTCTCACTTCTGCTTCCATTTTTAAAAATTCAAATGAGATCTTATTCTTTTATTCTCTTTTGAGAGGCAAGGATTATAGGTTGTTGTTGATCAACTCCCATTTTTTGATGAGAGAGAATGTATAGCCTTACCTTTTTTCCAGGAGTGAGATGCTCCAGGAGCTCCTGCACTAATGTCTTGGAAGTTTTCTCTTCATCTCCATCCTTGTGAAAGGAGGTGGTACCGGGGGAGATCAGAAGTCTTTCCTGAACTTCTTTTTCATGAGGGCCTCTAAATTTTCCCTCCATTAAATTGGGAATCAGTTGGGGGATCCACTGAAATTGTTAGATATCGTGGGACAGGCGTATCTTACCAGAATTTTATTTCAGATTATTTTGTTCATGGTACAGCCAAAACAGAACTGGGGTTGTACTCAAGACACCTGACTCAAATGCTGCCTTTCTAAGTCTCCTGCTAAGATGACGTAATGATTGGACTCCACCCCTTCCGAGGCCCTTTCCTGCTCTGGCAGCCAACTATGCTAATATTCTCCCATAAGCCAGGTTCTTAGCTGGTGCCAGGTTTCCCAACTCTAGTCCTGTTGTGGAATTCATCAAGCAAGACGTGCTAGGGCGTCAGGCCCCTGTAAGCTGACCTCCACCTAGAGCTGGTGGAGCTGAGAGAGGTTTTCTGCCCTGCCGCTTGCTTGCGCTCTCCGCTGCCTTCTCCCTAGTCCTTGCTTGCTGGTAGAGTCCAGCAGTGCAAGTGGAAACAGTTCATTATAAAGAGCTCTGAATAATTTGGAATCAGATCTTTGAAATCTAGTGTTTACCAAATCTTTTCTATCTGATGATAACCGAGAGGCAACAAAATTGTATTTAGATGTTAGCATGCTTCCTTTTGCTTTGAATATAACTTCTAATTTTCTGTTTAACTGCCACTTGGGAGGACTAACATGGCTAATATTTTTTCAGAATCTTAAGACATAGAATTAATTTTAAAAATATATATATGGCCAGGTGTGGTGGCTCACACCTGTAATCCTAGCACTTTGGGAGGCTGAGGTGGGAGGATCACTTGAGGTCAGGAGTTCGAGAACAGCCTGAGCAAGAGCAAGACACCATCTCTACGAAAAAAGAAAAGAAAAAAGAAAAATTAGCTGGGTGTGGTGGTGTGTACCTGTAAGCCCAGCTGCTTGGGAGGCTGAGGCAGGAGGAGCACTTGAGCCCAGGAGTTTGAGGTTGCAGTGAGCTATAATGATGCCACTGCATTCTAGCCCAGGCAACAGAGGGAGACTCTGTCTCAAAAAAATAAATAAATAAAAATTTAAAAATATATAGTCATACATATCACCAGTATAAGCTACCAGTACTTTGCCATGTAAACATCATTGTTTGGTATTTTAAAACCGAATTAGTAATTGTTTTCTTTTTAAAATTGTAGCCAGAATCTTCAAAAGCCTCTGAAAGTGCAGTGAATGAACTAAAAGGAATACTGGTAAGAATAGATCTCAGTTTATTGTTTAGTTATTGGGGAAATGAAAGGAGAATATATTTAAAATGTGTGTATTTATGAATAATTATTTTTGGTATGTTTTATTCCCATTTACAATTAGCTGCATGTCTTTTGTCAGTTTACTTGATTGTAGTTTCGGGCTCCTCGATCATTTGTGTTAATAGTGTATCAAATAACACTTTGCTGTTTCTATTCTGAAAGAATGGTTACACTTTCACCAAAGTCATTGTTTCCTGTTCTTGTCCTCCAATCCTGGCATTACAGCTTAAAGATCAAGTGTCTGGCCATACGCAAGAATCTGTACACATTTCTGAATAACAGAAATATAAGAGATGAGTAGTGCTTTACTTTGAGGCATGAAAGTGGAATTCTTGACACCTAAACATAAATCTGAGCTCCTACCCAAATATGTTAGTATCAGGGTCCCGATCTGCCTTTGCTCACAGTTGAAACAATTATTCAATGATAAATTGGAGAATAAAATAAGAGGCCCTTTCTATATGTTACTAATTTCATTTTCTAAAGGTAATTCTTATCCGTTGGCGAGCGTGCTTCATGTCCCTCCCTAGTCATACTTCCGCTTTCCAAAGTGTGAGCTTTTGCCATCAGAATGCATGGCTACTACCCTCTCCAACAATTGCTGTCAGAGACAAACGCCCCACTTAGAAAATGTTTCAGATACTAAGAGTTCTATTCTCAGATCCTGTTATGGTCCCAGTTATTATGCGTGGTAAGTCAACACACGTGGGGGCGGAGGTATAGGACTAAATACTCCCATGTCTCTTGTTACTGTGCTAATTATGCATTGCATGTAGACATCCACATAATTGTGGTAAACAAGATTATTTTCATCAAGCATGTCTTTAAACAGTAGACTTAACTCAGAATGGCTTAATTAGTTTGCTTTAGTTTTAAGTGAGTGGGATTAGCACTGAAGAGAGGTATGTTACTGGTTAACAGTGGTGGTCTACCTACAGAATAAAGTATTAAAACCACTGAAACAATATGTGGTTATTATCCAGTGGATTCTTTGATGGGAAAATTTTGTTACCCAGTGTTCCCTTACGGAGAACTTCCTATGACAGCTGCTTTGTTGTCTCTGCATTATAATGCTAATTCATGTCCATAAAGATGTTCCCTGTGGCACAGTCCTGATCATCAGTGAAACAGTAAACCACATTGAGTTTGACTTTTTAAAAATTAGGTTTATTTCAAAAATCAGACATCTATATGAAATGCATATGATAATATGTGATTGTCCAAGATATCCCATTCCCTGGTAATGCTGGATGGTAGCAAGTTTAGTAAATTACAGCATAAATATCATATTCACCATAATTTTGTCCCACTTCAAGGAGAGAAATTTGAACTAATTTACAAATTATAAACATTTTTAAAATATTCTTCTTTTCCTGCAAATTGCCCCCATCCTTCTTTCCCTGGATCTGTCATTAGATCTCTCTGCCTTATCTGGCATTAATGTATCACCAACAGTTATTATTCTGACAATATTATTTCTTTGCATTAAGTATTTTTTAAAAAGTGAAACTCATGATCCTCTCTCCTACTTTTCCTTTATCACATGGCACCTAGTTTCTCTGTGGGAGAATGGACCATTTATAACTAGAAAATCACCTGGGGCCAAGAAATCTTACCTATTCTTGTAGGGGAGGGTGGAGGAGGGGAGGGGAGGGAGAAAGGGAGAGAGAGAAAGAAACAGCCCCCAGCTCAATTTGCCAAACAGATGGATCTTTATTGGTGCTTCTTGCTAAAGTTCAGATTATTTGGATTATCAAAGTTAGTACCCAGTAAAGCACATGATGCCAACCTCACAATCGTGGCATGCAAAAAACAAATATGAACGAACACGAAAAGCCTACAGTTGTGTACTGAAGTGGAAAGCCAGCACCTGTACCAGGAGATACCAAGAACACTGTATTTAGATCTATCGTAGAACAGAAACCAGGAAGAAGCTCAGTGTGGGGTATATTTGCTGAAATGAAACGTGACCCAAATTGTAAGACTTAGAAAGAAATTTGGCCTTCTGCTGAGTTAGTGCACATGTAGAAAACCAGTCTCTGGTTTGGGGGAGTTGGAAGACCCTTCTCTATGTTTTGAATTGTACAATTTTCAAGCCAATTTTTAAAGTCTCAGTGTTGACTGAACTCATTTTTCCAAACCGACTTACACTTAATTTTTAAAGCTGTATATTTTGTGGATAGTATGTATATAGTCCATTTTTCATAGTCACACAAGGTTCTGAGGCATAGAAAATTAGACATCTTGAGTCACTCCAGTCATTTAAAAGCCACTGTAGGCTGGGTGCAGTGGCTCATGCCTGTAAATCCCTGCGCTTTGGGAGGCCCAACGTGGGAGGATTGCTTGAGGCCAGGAGTTTGAGGTTACAGTGAGCTATGATCATGCCACTGCACTCCAGTCTGGGAGACAGATCAAGACCCTGTCTCTAAAAGAAAGAAATAAAAGCCACTCTCAGTGGCAATGGTGATTTCTGAAGAATAAATTGATACAAATTAATCTAAAAGTCTCTTCTCAATTTCAATTGGCTATAAATCAAAGAAACGAAAAGCCGCTTTTAGAAATTCTCTTATGGGTCTTTTTCAAACATTCTCAGTTTTTCAAAATACCTAGAAATTGTTGAACAGTTAATTTTGCCATCTGAGAATTAGATTAATCAGTATTATGAACAATTAATTAGCATGGAGGCTAAGATTGTTGGAAGATGTAAGTTCTAGGTCCAGCCTCATCACTGACTTATTGTGCGACCTGACCCAGAAGCTGAGGATCACTGAGTTTGAATTCTCTTACCTGTAAATAGGTAACTAAGATAATCTTGGTATTTTATTAGTTGAGCATCATGCAGAAATCTTTCTTTCAGAGTCATACAGAAATCTTTCTTTCCTCCATTATTGCCTCTGTATTTAAGGTTTACTCATATATTAGTTGAATCAACCACCTCTGTCAGTAAATGGAGAAAGAAGTTTGGGATTCAAAGCTTAGAACTTCGGTATCAGGTATGGCTGGGTAGCTTACTACAGCCAGGGATTTGGGGAAATAATGCTGTTATCCAAGTGAAAAACTAGAGAATATTGTGAAAGATAAATTCATCAAAAAAGGATGTTCTTGAAAGGTATATATGTATGTGTGTATACGCCTACACTTTTTTCTTGAATTAACTCCAACCATTGGGAAAAACAGAGTATCCTTGACATTCAAACAATGTAATAGTTTTACAACTCATGTTAATAGCTGAAGAAGTCATCGGTGTCAGCCATACTTCACTTTGTGACTATTCCATGAGTAAGTAGATACAGATCTGTAATGTTAAAGAAACCAAATCATCTCATTTTTTAATTGTAAAATCTATTAAAGTGTTACATGTGATGCAATATTTCTTTTAATATATTTTATGGATTTTTGCAATAAATGAAAAGCAAAAAGAGGTACATTCAGGGGAAAAAATATCATATGCCTGATTGAAATATGAGCCTTATCTGAGTATTTTGCACATCAGTTGATTAGGCAGCTGACAGCAAAGTAATACAATCTCCTAATCTTGTTAGTCAATATCCCCCATGACAACAGGCTGCTTTTCTATAACTTTAAGCAGTTAGGGGGAAAGAAACTTTTCTAAACAAAACAACATAGCATATACCATGTGAGATTTGTAACCATCTGATTTTGTAAGTAACTTATTTTATAGACTAAAGAAGAAACATGGGTTACCATTTATAGCCAGTAGAATTCTTAGAAGCCTTCAGGAAGTTGGCAGCGGGGAGGGAGCAGGATTAAGACAAGCCCTTAGTGAGTTCAGCCATTACAAAGGCTGGTGAGGTTATTAGCCTTAGTGGACAAAAGCTGCCTTCTGACTCTGGCATGAAGTCTGGTGAGTTATACCAGACTTGAGGTTCTTATTTCTTCTGATCAAAAGATTATAGTTCTCCTGGCTTCCCCCTCAACCACTACCCAAGCCTGTGGCATAGTTGAGGAGGACCATTTCAAAGAAATAGCATTCCTTATGGGGGAAAAAAAAACTTGTAATGTTGAATTTATATATGAATTTATGAATGTGTATGAATTTAATATATGTATTAAATTCTTACATATAATTGAGAAAAAGCACATCACCCAGTATTCTGTTCCAACACTCAACTAGTAACAGAGATGGAAAACCACAGCTCTCCCTCCATAACATACTTCTTAGAGGAGCCACGGCAGGGAACCACCGCATGGGTCTTTCTGTCTTCTTGAAAGCCAGTGTCAGTTTCAGCATGAATACAGCTTCATAGCATCTCTTGTCTCCTTCAGTGCCTTCTGGGCCCTGGAAAATACATTCACTGCCTCCTCTGTTAGGAATCTGGCATTAAGAGGCCCGACCCTTGTTTGCCTCTGCGTGTGATTATAACTTTCTTCTTTCACACTGAAATCAAGGTGTGCTCAGTGCAGCCCTTTGGCTAGGCCACTGGAGAGCATCATGTGCCTCCTTTGGCAGCCATGACACCACTGACATCAGGCCTGCAGCCAGCAGGGTCACTTTCTCTGAAGAATCAGCCACACATTTTTCAGTGCCACAAGGATTTGGGTTTAGTGGCTCGTGTCTGCCATATCAAGATTTCCTTCTAAGGTGAGTTTATCATATCCATTCTCTTCTCCCCTCCCCGGTCAACACACATCAGAGTCTTAATCATCGTTAGCAGGTACCTTCCCACTGCTGGATTTCATGTAGTAAGTTCATCAAGAGTTGTTCTTTTACTGTTCTTCCGATGTGAAAGCTAGCATCTGCATCATCAGTAGCATCTTCTCAATGATTCAGCACTCTGTGTTGTCGAAGATTACGCACTAAAAAATATATATATATATATATATAAAATTTGTTTTATTTCTTAATTCCATTCAAATCTGGTAATGCTTTGTTGGTTTGATTTTTATATTCTTTTGTATATTGTATTAAGACATTAACCTTTTTGTTTTTGTTTTGTTTTCACTTTAGGGGACACTTAACAAATCCACTAGTTCAAGAAGCTTAAAATCCCTTGACCCTGAAAACAGTGAAACTGAGTTAGAAAGGATTTTGCGTCGCAGAAAGGTGACAGCAGAAGCAGATAGCAGTAGTAAGCTGGTTTGAATTCTCCACGGTCCTACTCTTCATCTCTGAAACATCTTCCTTTAAGTCCCTTTTTTAATATGAAATAATCTTTTAAAAATTATTAAAATATTTATTTTTAATGTGAGTGAGAAGTATTGGATAGGCAAAGGTATTTATGGATATCTCATAAGAACTCTTATTCATCTTTATTTATTGGTATGTTTATTTATTTGAAGGCAATCAGGCATTTATAGATCTGATTGTTTAATACAAGATACCCTGTGTAAAGACATTCAGGGTGGGTTTTGGCGCCAATATAGCTTCAAGTACAGGCCCTGGGACCAGATCATCTGAGTTTGAATCCTAGTTCTGTCATATACTAGCTGGTTACCCTTAGGCAAATTAACTCAACCTCTCTGTGCCTCAATTTCTTCATCTATAAAATGAGAATAATAAAAGCACTGTTTCATAGAATTATTCTAGAGAGTAAGTCAGTCTCTATATGAAAAATGCTTAGCACTGTGTCTGGCACAAAGTAAGCACACAGTAATTAGTAGTTGTAGTAGTAATTACATATCAGTTACAAATTCAGGGAAGTCATCTTTACTCATTATATCCATTTAGCTTATTATCTCTGCCTGTGAACCAAGTGAGTGAGAAATTCCAGCTCTGTTACCAAGTATAATATGCTGTCTGAAGAAGTCTTGAGCTCACAGTTTGTATTTATGTCATGTTAGGCATGTATTAGGCCTCAAGATCTGTTCCAGAACTAACTGTGTATGTCCTCAGTTGTTTTCATCAGCCTGGCCATAAGGAATTAACAGAAACCTTTATGAGGTTTTTTCCCTGGTGGGCAGGTAGGAGGCTGACTTTAAAAAACTACTGTAAAGCAAAATAAATCAGCAACCATAGCTAATGGGCTGAATCTTGTAGACTCAGCTTGGTCAGCTCCAAACAGTCCATCATAGCAGTTTAAATCTGGAAAACATTGAGTAATGTTGACCAAATTTAAGTTGCTAGAATATTAAAGATGGATTTTTGATAATCAAACTCTAGTTTACACATATACATTTACTCAAACAATTGAGCAAATTGATTCCTTGAACCAAAAGCAGCATAAACCAACCAAACTTTTATTATAAAAAGGTAAAACCTTTGTTTTCTTCTTGTAAAAAATTCAACCATTCAGTTTTTAGTTGGTCTGGAGGTTCTACCATTAAAATCTGTGAGGATTCCCTACCACGCAAAATAACCACCTCTTGGAAAATTAAAGATGTGCCACAAGATATTTTTTTCTTAGAATTGCTCTACGAGCATTACACAGACTCCGCATGAATTGTTCCTCATTTTGTGACTTAATCAGTGCTGAGTCATCCTTTCCATGGTTTCATTGTTTAGGGCTTTGTCAATGCCATTTTAGTGTTCTCTCATTTACATTTTGTGTTTTGTCACTGACCTTTTAGTTTCTCCAGAAACATTCTTATTTCACTCATGAATTTGGTCAAACATGTACAACACTCACTGTTTCAGAGTTTTGATGGAAGAAATAAGGAAACATTTTCATTTTAGTCAATATGGAAATTTGGATATTTCAAAGAGCAGAGAAAGGAACACATTTTATAGGCATGGTGAGGATCTTTCATTTTATTTATTATATTTCACCAATATATAGATATTCAGTTTGATATTGAAGGAACTTAGAATGAAAGATATGTATTCAATAGAACCATTAGTAAATGCATAGAGAAATAAGAACTGACATTGACGATGTAGAGAGGAAACACATACTGAGGGAGTGCCTTGTAATTGAGCAGAAATTTTCTTTGAGCTTCCTAATAGCCAAGGCAAAAAAAGGAGAGAGGGAGCAGGGGAGGAAACAAACTTACACACTCTCATCATCTAAAAAAGAAAGCACACCATTTTTTAGGTGGTACAAACATTTGTCTAGCATCAGACTAGAAGAGGCATTTACCATGTGAATCTTTTTATTAATATAAAGTTCATGGAGTGACAAAGTGAAAATTCCAAGGGAAAAAAATAAGGAAGAAGTTAAAACAGCACAGCTGCATGGTGGGAGTCAAAAGACAGAGATGAGGAGTTGGACAGGTTGGTGCCTCAGGTACTTGAATCCCCAAGGTGGTTTTCCTCTGCGCACAAAGGCTTATGGGAAAGCAAACGGGAGGTCACAAATGGAGACAGGAAGTATCGTAAGAGAGGCAGCCTGAGGTTTGCAGAACACGATTCCAGGTTAGTGGGTATTTCCCCCAGGAGCAAGGGATGAACCCTTTTCCTTAGAATTTTTCTTATGAGTCGAGCTGATGTTCCCTTGTTTTACCTGACCTTGTGGCCTACCCAACTGGCATTTAAAAGAGTAGCAAGTGCTTCTTAGAGAACTTTGGGTGGCTTAAATAGGATACAGTAATAATAATCCTAAACACTGTACATTTTTCCAAATTCCTTTTTGTACATGAGAAAAATAAGAGCTCTGGCTCAGCTCACTACTCACCCTTTTTTTTAACTGGCGTCAGTTGCAAGAACAAGTTGCTTTCCTACAAGGACAGATTGTTTAAAGCTGTCTAGTGTTGTAGTCAACAATTATCCAAGGGCACAATAGAGCTGATCTGTAGCAAATCTTGAATTCAGCTTCATATCTGTATTTTCAGAAACTTTATTTCTTGATCTTTCTGCCTTTCTCTTTACTCCCATGTCCCCATAAAACATGAGGCTTAACATAGCTAGGAAGAAAATACCCTTAAAACTAGAATATTCAGTAATGTCACCAACTTGTCTGCATAGATGAAATAAATAAGGAAGGCAGACACTAATGCTGTCTTCCACTGGATCCGAGGGGTTCTGTGTCTCCCACATAGAGTGAGGCTAAGGAGGTATCTAACAGAATGGCTGAACAGTTTTTCAGTCCCTCTTAGGTAAGTTTTTCAAATAGACCTTCATTTATAGAGTCGATATGTTTCGCTATTGTATTACATCAGACACATTCATATTCAAATGTAAGAATAACGTTCCAAAGCTTAATATTAATGGTCAGGGATTAGCTAGCATTTTGGATTGTACCCACTAGCACTTTCCATCTTGAGAGATGATCTGACATTTCTGAGGATAAGGAGACTCCCAAGTTTTGTGCTTTTCTGAGTGACACCTTTCAAGGTTATCGTCTAACTTCGCTTTTAGAAATTATTTAATTTGCATGTTTGTGACTTATTTCATAAATCTCTGTTTTAAAAGCATACCTTCTGAAGTTTCAAGAAAGACATCTAGAATCTTACTTCGAGGAAAAAAACTGCCTAGGATAGAATCTTTCTACCTAGAGTTAGGAAAAAAGTCATGATGGGGCTTAACGTCAGTGCCCAGAATTTTTAGATTCATATGCCAATAATTTCAGTAACAAGCCCTGTTACAGTTTTAAAATCCTATCCCAAAGAGCAGAAAAGTCCAATAGGTAAATAGCCAAACTCTTTTCCACTTAATTTTTATGATCCTGTGTCTGTATTTTAAGAGGAAATAAATCCACTTACTTCTCATTCATATTAAAATGAAAATGTTCGTAAAAGCTGTTTAATGCTTGAGAAGGCTTCATGGGCCTTTTAGAAAGAGCCTTTTGACATTGTTCCATTTTCTGTTTAAAATGCAGGGCTGAGTTTTGGGGAAGAATTAACTCTTGAGAGACGAAATGGTTCAAGTAGGGCTGTCAGAAAGCCATACTCTTTGAGAAGAAAAGAGTTTTCACAATTCCAGTATTACTAAGGACTCTGGTCAGTGAGGGAACTGTGGCCCGGGATTTTGTGGTTTCTTAAATGTCCGTACACAATTTCTCAGCGTGGTCTTCTGGTGCATTGAAAAGCAGTAGCACCACCCAAAACAGAGCAGATTTCCAATAGGAACATTTTCCAGCATGCTCTTGAAATTTTTAAGAAACTTGGCCCTTTCACTTCTTGAAGGATTTTCAGCTAATCTGTTTTTCAATACCATATTAATAAGCATCGTACAGAATTATTAAACTTGAGGTATGTGTTTGGTTTTAAGGTCCAACCGGGATATTAGCCACCTCAGAGTCCAAATCCATGCCAGTGTTGGGTTCTGTATCCAGTGTAACAAAAACAGCCTTGAACAAGAAAACTCTGGAGGCAGAATTCAACAGCCCGTCCCCCCCAACACCTGAGCCAGGTGAAGGGTCCCGTAAATTGGAAGGATGCACAAGTTCCAAGGTTACATTTCAGTAAGTAATGATGCTCTTTACTAAGTAGTGTGTAGACGAATCTGTAATGACTGACTGTGTTTCTTTGATTTGTTTCTTAGATTTTCATTTGGCTAGCTAGTATATATTCTTCTTTGATTTGATGAGCCACCTTTTGATTCACGGCTCCTGTAGTAGCTTAGAGATCTCATTTCGGATCTAAAGCAAATACCATGTATGAAGAGAATTAATTCCTTTCCTTAAACTGGTTTGGTAATCAGGTTCTTCTTCTACATAAAGAGTTGACCTAGATGATACTTAATCTCCACCAGGAGACAGTCAGTCTTTCAAGATTAAATGCTACGATCATCCCTCTTAATGGTTCCTGAACAGCTGAAGAAGATACTAGATTTTTCAGAGGCTACTTTGAAGGGTACATTTTTACAACCTTATTTTCTGGTCCTCAGTTAAAGATGAGCCTAATATTGCTCTCTCCCAAGAAGGAAAACATACTATTTAAGGAGTTGTCTATATAGTCTTACTTCAAAGTGGCACTTTGATTGTCAAAGAGTTAATCCTGCTGTTGAATGTGTTTCAGACAGACCCAGTAGAGGATCAATTTGTTTTATAACAATGGCAAGCTCTTTTTGAAATTAGTCTACAGTTTTGCTTTAGTTCTCTTGCCAGGATGTCAGCTAGTTTGTCACTTAGAGAAAAGGAAGAGGTGAGACAAATCAGATCAGCCGAATATTGTAATCACGGTTAATTAAACCTCTGATTTCCTGTTCTATCAAGAGAGAAAGAACCCCTTTTTTGTAGCTCTAGCTGTCTTAGCTTAAAAGGTGAAACCTGGACAAATGAAGTTGAAATTCAATTTGGATCTATTTTTGCCGACTGGTATTTTCTTCCTCTCTTGCATTTCTCTCATTGGTACTATTAACTTTTTTTTTTTCCTCTTTTGGAATGAATGGCCCTCTTTGCTGATTTACAGTTTTATCTAATTCCATTGTGTTTAAAAGCACATTTTCTCCTGCGGTCATGTGTTTCCTTTCTTTTGATTAGAGTCATTTGAGCAGTTCTTACAGAAAGATGATCTATATTCATTCTTCATCTTTTCTATTAAATTTGTTTAACACCTAATTTGACATCAACAGTCTGGCTACATTTGAACCAATATCCAAACACAAAAGCAATTTGGCTGAGACAAGTTAGTTTCTGATAAATGCTGCAGTGTGTGTGTATAGATTTTTTTCCTTTACCATTTTACACAGATAGTCTTAATCAGAAAATACTGCAACTCTTTCCTCCCTTTGTCTGCCTTTTATTCTCCAAAAGTAAGTGGAAATTACATTTCCAAGAAAGGAAATGAAATAATTGCAGGCCCAAGGTCTGCAAAATGTGTGTTGAATTGACAGTGAAAAGGATCCATGTGTTGACAGACACAGTTGTTAGATGCCATAAAGGCCGATGTGAAGCTCAATTTATTTCTCATCTTGCTTGTTCAATGACTGCTTAAGAGACACATTTCAATTTAATTTATCTACTTAAAGTACTAATACAGATACTGTGTGCTGCTGTATTAACTTTTAAATTTTGTAACCTAATGCTTGATTATTCAATTCTTGACATTCTTTAGCTAAAAGAACTAATGCCGTGTATTTTCATATTGACAGTCATTTAGCAAATAAGAGCGCCTTTTTGAAAAATCTGTTTCTTAAGTACAATTAGACTATCCACGTGAATCTGAGAATTTTGTGTATGTGTAGGGTAATTATTTGCTTCCCAGACAGGCATACTTGATTCATTTATGTTTAAACCTTTTAAAGACTAAAAGAAATTTAACTTAATGTAGCTACACGTAAGCTTTAAAAGTAAAAACTTAGAAGTTACAAGCTTATATATAACTACGTTAAGTTAAACTTCTTAGCCTAGCTGCCAGGAACAAGAAGGGTTATTTTCAGGGCTGTTTCTGGCTGGCTTTGACTAATAAGTTCACTCTATTATACTAATCATAAGGTAGAGGCAATCACATTGTCTTACCTTAAAGCACTTTGAAGTCAGGTCAGTAATTAAAAAGTGAAATGTTTCCTTTGCTTTTTAAAACCGTCTTTGTACTCTAGTAGGCATACCTTTACTTTGATCTGTGGCGACACCACCGTAGCGTTTCAGGTGAGCAGCACTGCTGGCTCTTGACAGGAATCAAGGTCAAGGGAGGATGCCAGTCACAGTAGCCTCTAATGTACACATTATTGCCCCAACACCCCCGCCCCCTCCGCCCCAGCCCCTACCACTCTACCCTCCCTTCTGCCCTTCACTTTGACCTTGCTGGCCCCATGCTGTTCCACCTAGGCCCCTGGCTTTTGCCGACCCTCCACCTCGTACGCTGGTATCCCCCAGTAGCTTCATGGCTCACTCCCTCAATTAATGCTCAACTAACCAGCATTCTGCCATTATTTAACAGTCTCATATACACATAAGCTAGATAGTAGGGGTTTTTTTGTTGATGGTTTTGTTGGATTATTTGGTTTTTAAAACATTTCTTAAATGTCACGAATCATTTACATTCAATTCAAAGTTGCATTATCTTCTTCACCTACTCCAGACAAAAGTTATCAGAGACAATAGAATACTCAGTTGGAAAAGAAATATTTAGCTAAGCTAACTTGGCCTCAAATGGACAGGAACATTTGCCAGTCTACTAAGAAAGGTTTTAAATGTAAAGATAGAAACAAAGATGTTTTTTGCATAAGATCTTCACCTCACCAGAAAATTAAAAAGCATCAAGCTATCCCTAGAAAAGTTCTTTTTAATAAATTCCTAAAATCAGCATGTGCATCTATTCCAAATAATTAAGTAACTCCTGTCTGGTAAATTATAAAGTCAGAGATATACTGATTTATTTCCTAGGGCCCTGTGAAAAAGCAAGAAACAATTTTAATACTTAATTATAAGGATTAATTAAAATTAATGTTCTTGTCACTAGTATAAACAAAGCAAGGATATTTTTTAAGGGGAAAAAAAGAAAGGAAAAGATAATCAGGGCTTGGGGAAGCCTAATGTATTGTTTCTATTTTAATAATAGCTTTAAAAACATTTGTGTCCTGTTAATTATTTCTAATAAGTATATACTATCTAGTCATATCTTAAATCTCACAGCAAATTTGAATTTTTTTAATTCTGATTGGTTATAATTCAGCTAGGAATTATGCTTATAATCTCCCTTTTTGTCATGACGTGTAAGGAGCTGGCCAACACATGAACAACGCAAACCTCTTTTTTGCTTTTGTGTTCTTTCTGTTGATCTAGATTAATCTGATAATGTTGAAATATAGTAAGACTTACTGATTCAGGCTGATCAATGAGTGGGATGGTCAATATAAAAAAGGGGAAATTCTAGAATTATAGAATTTTTCAAAGAAACTATTACCACTTTCCGACAGCTATGGTAACTGGAAATAGGCTAATCAAGAGTTGCACAGGGTCGGAAAAATGAGAATGATTTACATTTGCATCAATAAGATCCTGTAGACCAGGTGTGGTGTCTCACGTCTGTAATCCCAGCACTTTGAGGGGCTGAGGCAGGAGGATCGCTTGAGCCCAGGAGTTCAAGACAGGCCTGGGTAACATAGTGATACCCTGTATCTACAAAAAAATTTAGAAATTAGCTGGGCCTGGAGTCCTAGCTGCTCAGGAGGCTGAGGGAGGAGGATTGCTTAGGCCCAGGAGTTCAGGGTTACAGTGAGCTATGATCACACAATAAAGCCTAAAATCAGTGCCTTCCCTCATATGCACAGGATGGCAAGCAACATCCAGTTATTTCCAGGACTTGAGCTCCACAATCAGACAAAGGTTGGCCTTGGGAAAGTTATTTAATCTATGACTTAGTATTTTCATGTGTAAATTGAGGGTAATAACACCTACCTTATAGGGTTGTCATGTACATTAGGCAATGTATAAAAAGTATTTCAATATATTCCTTTTTAATCTTATATTAAAATTATAATGCTGAGATAATGGACAGTCAAGGACAAAAGCTAAGATATTGGTCCATCTGGGTTAGTGACTGGGCCAGATGATCTTGGATAAGTCATTTAACCTCTCTGTATTTTGTTATGTTTTTATTTATTATGTTTTATTTGTTACGTTTTTATTATGTTTCTTTTAATCTAAAATTGAGGCCAGTAGATGAGGCACTCTCGAATCCCTTTCAGCTCTAAAACACCAGTAATTCCTGACAAATGTGGTCTCTTGGTAAAGATGTTCACAGGTAGGATAAGAAACAGGAAATCAGTACATATTTTCTACCTACAACATGTCTCTCAGTATAGATTTACAGTAAGACACACACAAAATCAGAAATGTAAAATAATTATTTTTAAAATATGCCATCAGAACTTACAAATCCAAATCAAGATGACTGTTGTCTTTCAGAGCGGTACTCTTGGGGGTCAACATACTCATTTCACCCCTGCCACTATAGCCCCAAAGGCTTTTAGACCCTATTTGAGTTAGCAATACCTGATCACAGAGGAAATAAACTGGGCAGTCTTTTATTTTTATCTGTTTATGTTGGGACGGAGAAAGTGAGAGAGAAGTAAAGGCTGCTGCAGCGCCACTCTGTTGGTCCTATCAGAGAACTAGTGTCAGTACTTACTTTGATCCAAAGATGATGCGGCTCACTGTAATCACTACTATTAATATCTGTTGAACATACATTCCAAATGACTTCGGCTTTTCAAAGTAGATTGAATTTTTGGAAATAGCTGTCAATTTGCCACCACTGCAGATGTATATATTTTTTAATGTGACATAAATACTTGCCATGCCTCCCAACCACATGTGCAGAAGAGTGCCCTGCAGTATAGTCGAGCTGAAGTTGGTTGGTGCCTAACCCTTTTTCTTCCATTCCAGCTAGGTTGACTAGTCTCACATTATACATGCTGGGGCATTGATTAACAAATAACTAGGAAATTAATATTTCAGAAACAGAAACATAAGTTGAACAATAAATAAGAAAACCCAGTATACTTCTATGTGAATGA